AAAATGCTGGGACTAAGGGTATATGAGTGGGGCTACGTAAGCTACTTTTGCCCAGTTATTTACCACGATTTTCGTACCAGACAAGCGTCTTTCGACGTCTGTGCTGCCAAGAGTCATTGCGTGCAACATGGAAATCTTGCCTCGCTCAAAACGCCCACAGTTATACGTCTTTAGGGCTTTGTAAAAAGGTGAAGTGTGACTGGATTACTGTGATTTTAGAAATACGGGGATTTTAATATATATCCCGTGAGGTATTAATGGTATCGTTCCTCGGTGTTGACAATCACTTCAAATTGAACACGACCGTACGTATTGCCTGGTGATCAAAGCTTGACATATGAGGTGTTCTTATAATTGTGAAACGGTCATCTTTTGCCTAATTTTATAACTGATGGTATATTAAGCCACGCAGAGTTTTCGTCCGTGCTCTCTCACGTAAAAAAAACAAATTGATCTACACCAAATTGTCAAAATTCTGGCCAAAAACAGATGACCTTATAATTGCGGAGGATATCGAAGAAGGGATTTGTTGTATTCTTTGAAGTAATTAATTGGCTATTAGTTTGTTTTGAAATGCCGATGCCAATGTTCGATGCTAGCAAACTACGAAGATGAGCAATACTACAGAGTGTCTGTTTATTCATATCGAAATCACTGAAATGGTTTTGCGATGAAATGGTTTGGTCGCATCTCTAAAGAACCAAACTGGCTTGATCGTGAATGTCTTTATGTCCTTTGTCCCGTCGGTTGTGGTTGTGAATATTTTTATGAAACAACTTCGTCCTGTTGCGCCTTGGAGCTCAATCTAGAACCCTCGCAGGTAGTTGCGTTGCAACTAGTAACATATACGTATGATGGCGTACTGACAAAGACAAGGAAGATCGGAATTGCGATCATACTTACTAATTTGTATTAATTAGCTTTAGCACAATTAATACTCCCGATCAAAACTGGCATGAAAGTGGCTCTGTGGCTCCTTGGTAGAGCGTTCGACTCAGTAACCTAAAATCCCGGGTTCGGATCCCAGCTGCTAGAAACTGAAGCTTGGTTATCTCTGACTGATGACAGGTAAAAAAACCAGAAATGGCTATTCAGATACAACTATAAAAAGTACTGTTACCTTGGTTAGAAAAACTAGTATTTTTATAAAACCGAAAAATTCTGAAAATGCCGACACCTGCTGTGACTGAAGATTTGTATGTGTTAAATGTACAGAAAGTCTGTCCGTGCAAGAAACTGGGTAATTTTGTCAGCACAAGAAGAATTAGGTTCGAGGATAGTCCTTTTGTGAAGTTCGCCTGCCTCAAGAACAAGTGCGCGTTGTAAGGTGGCCGTTACCAGGCAGCCTGCTGTTCGAATGTAGATTCCAGCACTGCTTCACGGGAGCGTACTGGGTTTTGTCTTCCGTATCTACCTTGTTTGATTCGCGTTTGACTGAAACAGACAGGTTTCTGCTTTATAAAAACGACAGAGGAATAATTTTGTTCGAAAACTCACATTTTGACAGGCCTCTCACATACTGTACGCCTACTTCTGCTCTCTGCAACTCGAGCAAACTTTCGCTCATTTTGAATGCCTGTGTTTTATCTCTGCCACCCACTACAGGCAAATGAGGACCAATGGAAGTGGGGCTCACACAGCATAGAGTACACATCTGCCTTCATAACTGGTGTCTACGGCATGTGGAACGCCTACGTGATCAGCATCCTCTGTCTCTACGCCCCCTCGCACAAATTCCGCTCAGCAGCCGGCCAGCAGATGTTGGAGCATCTGATTGTTAGCGACGCCTCGCAAGCCGTTCTTGACGCCGAAGAGCTGGCCTCTGCAGACCCTGCTTCCCAAAGACCTTCCAAGTCGCCTCCCGGTGAAGTCATTGAACTCTGTTCAGCATCGGGCACCTCGGCTGGAGGCGACAGCAAACGTCTAGATGGGTTTGCCTTCCTGAAGAAGACCGCTCAAGAGTGAGCGGTCCTGTAGTAGCAGCGGCTTCAAGCCCGATCCTACGTATGCTCGTCTGTATATTCAAAGTCATCATCATGACCAGCATACACCCCGTTAAGGCAATGCATTTTCTTTTCACGCAAGCAATTATTTTAACCCCCTGTGTATGTGTGTTTTTGTGCGTGAGAACGTTTGGGCCCCTACTTTGCCTTCCTCCTTGTGCTCTTTTCTGCCTGACATTTTTTATTGCCTTACAGTGCCGACTTCATGCAAGACCACATTCTGTGCCTTTTGTGGTTTCTTTGTGCCTCGGTCCTCCATCCTTGGTTTTTTTTTACGAGAAAAAAAAGCATGTGGACAACAAATGATGTCTTCTTTACTGCTTTACACAGTTAGGCCAAATGTGCACATTTTAGGGCCTCTTTATCCTTTCAACTATTCATGAGCGTGATCTTACTTGTACTTGTTACGGCTGTGATCATGCCTGATCTAGCCGCCCTCAATGCTGTCACAGACGGTACTTCCCCATGCCTGACGATTGGTGGCAGCGGATCTGGAGAGCTCCACTCAGTCTCTTCTCCAGAGACGGAGACCAAAATAGAAGATCCAGAACTGCTTCCATGTCTTGACGGACGGTGTCGAGCCAAGTCTTCAGTTGCCCTCCTCTTCGACACTCCCATGTGGGCTGCGGTGCCGGTTCGAGGGCAGCATAGCTAAGCTCGTGGGGCGGACGACGGAGAACGCGTCCAAACCACCTTAGTCGCCTTTCTTGAATGGCCTGAGATATCCTCGCGATACAATCGCAGTGGGTGCAGACTGTGTCATTCGAGATGAAGTCGCGTAATCAGTTTTCGTCTGGTTCGAGACGTGCACAGCTGAATTATGTTTTCCATGTAGTCGGAAATATCGGCAAGTAGCACCATCCCAGCCTCTTTAGGACAATATCTTCGTAGAAGTGTGTACGAATTTAGAGCTGTGCTAAGTCGTTTTTGGTAAGCATTACTTACCGAAGATTTCCTATCTCATGAAGTGTCAACCGAAATTCTCAATTTGCATTCGATTCGCGGAAATCACCTAAGCAGGGTTGTAACACTTTATTGCTGTGCACTATAATCCTAATGTATTCTATTCACGACAGGACATTGGATTTTGAACGAACTTTCTGTCTGTCTATCCGCAGGAAGCATAATCCGTAAACATGGCTTCTTCCACAGTATGAAGTTCCCTCATTTATTCTGGATGCCGTTATAAATTCAGGTATCGTTGTGTAGAAAAATACCGCAAAATATTATTTTTTATACTCGGTATGTAACAGGGTACGTCTGTAAGTTTTAAACTTGACGAGGGGGGAATATCTTGGAACTTTCGTTAACTAGTTTTATCCGTTCCAGCACCGAGCTCGTCACCTGAAACGCTCGTCTTGCGAAACGTCGTCAACTAAACTTCCTTAGTTCAGAGATTTACGGCAGGTGATCGAGGACCCACGCCCTGGGAGCAAGACTCAACGGCGGACATAGGCACAAACAGATGCACTGAGAGCCCGTTAACCGAGCGATAGCTCGTCAAATTGCAGGCGAGTGGCTCGTTCGTTACCCGAAATGTTCGTAGACGGGGCTGCTAGTCATCCGAGGCTTCACTTTATTTTGGGTTTAAAGTTTCCAATTATTAATAATACAAGCGAACATTCGAGTCCCAGGAAGTAATTGAGAAGTAGAAGACGACTCGATCGCTGGGCTGTGCCCGTGTTCTCCACAAGACGGATTTCGAAACGTCAGGCGAATAAACATATTGTCCCAGCGATCGAGTCGTCTTCTACTTCTCAGTTTCCAATTATGTATTTTTAAGACTTCGAAATTTTCATTTATAACCCATCGTACCCCATCAGTTTTAATAACCTTTCCTATATAATAGACGACATGATCCACAGCCATTGCAAAGTTTCATGAGAGCTACGTGGCCTCTTTCTCGCGGCGCAGAGCAACATATAATTTTCCTTAAAGAGAATGTACACAGCAACCTTCAGTGCAAATATAACGCCAGACAGGGTTCAAAATTATTTGGTGCTTTAGAAAGTTTTTCAAAACCCGATAAATGACCTCAGGTTGTCTGGGAGCCCAAACCTGGCATACAACTTTGGCGCCCAATTCTCTTGTGCTATTGTACAAATTCTAGATTTCTATTACGGCAGGAATTGTTTCAGTATATCAGAAAGTTTGCGCTGTGTATAAATTTTAAAGGGGGGCGGTAATGGCAACTTCTGGCACGTGAATCCTAGTCCACTTGCCATCCTGGAACAGCAGATTTTGCCAAGCTACCTTTGAGCTCCGAGGCAAAGCCGGACAACCATTCTCCATACCAGAATCAAGCCGATTTTCCCTTTCCCCATGGTAATGCGGACTATCTCAAGCCCTCAGCGTTTTTATCGGATTACTATTCCTTTGCGTATGTTTCGGACCCGAAGGTATGTCAGTTCGGTCACCAATGTGAAAAACGTACTACTGATCTACCACGAGTAGGTATCTAATTATTTTCCTGAGCCACGGCAACCAATCTATGCTCCCTTCCCCAACTATTAACGGGTTTCAGAGTTTCCAGTTTTCAATGATCTCTTGTAGAAAAAACCAAATGTAAAGCAGTCTCAAGTTCCATTCTTACTTTCGGCCACTAGAGGGAGAAGATGTGATCGCTGTAACAAAAAGTTTATTGGCGTGGCGTTTTTGTGAAAACTTATGAACATGTGATTACGCGCAGATTTTGTTGCCTCGAAGTTGACAAGCGGAACGAGGTTGACATCGTCAGCGCCGAGAAACAGGAGATCAGGTCCTCATAAACATCCTTTAAAGCATGTCTGCAGCATAGCCTAGCATAACTGATAAATGGAAACAGTTTCGTTGAACGCCAGCGTTCCCTGCAATTAAATCAGTCGTTTTAAATTACTGCCAAGCGTTAGTTTTCATAAAGTGTTAGGATACCTTGATCAAGACCATGGATTTCCGAGATATGCCACTGGTCTCAGGACCTTCCAGGGGCTACTTTTGCCGAGTTACTAAAAAAATTGCAGCTAAATCAAGGTAGCAGGTAGTTAGCTCCTTTCACAGCATTTGTCTTAGAGTAAGTATGCAATGTACACAGCTTCTGCCAAATCAAAAATCATCCTAGTCTTTCCTGATTCTCGCATTGCGCGTGTACCCGGAAGAAAAAGACATATTGCCCCAGCCTTGCCAGGCCAGACTTTGTGCACCATATTCGTCAGAAGGTCTAGAAGCCTTCAGAAACAACGTCTGAGCAGCTGTTTCAGACATTTGCTGCTTGCGTTTTCTGGTCCCTCACCATTCTTTTCAAATGCGTGGATTACTGCGTGAATGTTATCACGAAATGACAACACGTACGCATGGAGAGCTCTGTAGGAATGGGTTTTGTAGAGAAGTCGGTGGATTCAGGAAAATGTGCAGGGT